TAACGCATACTAACCCGAATTTCTCGATATCGGTCACCTCCAAGAACTCCTTGTGGAAATAGTGAATCTGCAGGACAGTGATAATGACGAAGAACGTCGGCGTGAGCAATCTAACAAACAGGTCCTTGGTCTCGTATTTCTCCAAGCCGATATCCTTCTGCAAGTCCTCGTCAATATGGAGGTAGTTCCAATATTTCGGGAAATTGTGGAATTGATAAGTGTAGACGAGAATCAGCATGATCACGGAATAACCAATGACTGTGATCCAAAACGAATACATCATCTTCCTCCACACTGTCCAGGATATCTACAACGCGCGAAGAATTATGAAATCGAGCGTCTTGATAATATCTCGTCCAAAAGTTTGACAAACTGCATTGAAATACGTTTGCAAACAAATTTCATTAGGATACGCAAGGAATCTGATTGAAAGAAAGTCTGCTGAGTCGTCACCTGGAAAGTGATGACTAGAACCAAGAAGAGGGACATGTAAATGATCCTGAAGACGGTCATACGTTCGCCAGTGATGCCAGAGATGAACAGCATAATTGCCACCACAGCGATCCAGAACTTGGTCAATAATTTCTTCAAAACTATACCAACGTCCTTCATGAATTTACTTTTGATCTCTGGCGCTTCGTGATTCATCGCCGTGGTAGCTGTCGAGACAGAGACGTGCAACGGCGCCACCATGTCCCTCAACGCTGAGGAACGTCTCTGTCGAGTCCTCTCGGCTGTGTATTGCCTCATAGTGATCCAGAACATCGATATGAACAGACACTGTGCGAAACAGTTGGAATTATCCCGATTTATAATGCGCCCTTCCATTTCGCCAATCGCCAACATAAACAGATTATCTTTACTTTGACGACTAGATGCCACCGACTAAGTTGGTCAGCCTTGATGAAGCCAATCTCCGACACGCTTATCCCGTTTATCTTCGTCGGCAGTTCTTCTTCCGTCAGGTCCATACTATAAATGTATTGAACGAGAAGCAAGAGCATCGCGTAAGTGACGATGAACGGTGAACACGTCATCATGGAGACGCGTTTGTTCGGCACCATCCAGAGAACCAAGGCCCACAACAACAGCGCGAACGTTGTCCAACTGTGATACATTATGCTCCACGTCTGGCCACATTCGAAAAGAAGCTTTTTAGGAACAGAAATTTCGAGAGATTTGTTGATATTGGTTTCCGTTGGCTTTTACCATCATTATGATATTCGTAGCGAGATAGGACGAGTTGATTATCAGCTGGAAGATGGAGTATACAGCCATAATGATGTGCTCGATGATTCCGGATTGCTCGTCCGGAGCAGCTGAAAATTGTTCAGTCGATTAGACACGTTCTAGCATGTCTAGTATTATAATTATCTCAGAGTACCTATATGTGTGTATTTTTTCGACGAACCTTCACTGAGACTTTGCATTTGAATGTTGTCGTCCTGATGACCATCCTGGACGATGACACTTCCGGTTGAATCTTGCAGTAGCCCCGTTCTCCCGGACCCAAATCGCATCAACTATCGATAAAATTAACAATGCTATTCCTTGTTGATGACAATAAATACCTAAACGCCTCTACGTGATGTTCTCGCTATCTCTCGCACTAGGATTTTAATCTCTATTCTAACTTACTAAATAATCTATATTAATAATTAACCTGCATAATATATAATGCTTTCGTAGAGTGTAAATTTTATTTGTCAATGCGTGTACATGCATGCTGCGTACGAGTGAGATCAATTTACCTTCACCAAGAGAATTAGAAGTTAGTTAAAATTCGTAAAGTGTGTTCATTATTTGAATGAAAAAAGAAAGAAATAAAAAAAAAAACAGAAAGTAAATATTAAAAAATGTGAGCAGAGTTCAGCGAGATCAGCTTGTAAGTTGTGATCGTGAATGATACAATGAAGAAAAGTGCGAAGAAAAGTGATTTCTGTGTCAATTAAACGTGCAAACTTAATCATTATACGTACGGGTGTGCGCTCGTCGACAGGTGGGTACGACGAATTAACGATCGGCTTCTAAAACAATGGCAAACTAAACATAGCGGCATCCAAACGGAAAAGGAATTTGCTCAAATCTGGAAGGCGACAGCAAATAAAAAACACGGGAGTTGTCTGAAGAAAGATGGGCAATCGATTGAACAAAAATATCTTTAACACACATAATGGTATACTACCTTCTCCATATAAATAACTCTCATCTTCTTTTTGGTTTGTTAATCAAAAACGAACACGAAGAAAAAAAAAATTATCAAGTTTACTCTGTAGATGTTGCATTTTATAATATGACGTGTATAAATATTTTTCCTTTGTTTTTTTTTTTTTTTG